ACAATTTTGTTTGCCATCTCACTAAAAATGACTAAATAAAAGATGATTGCTAAAAAATATCAACATTTCATCAGATTCGGCATTTAAAACTGATCATTCATGTCTGGCTGTTAAAGTAACATAATACAAGTCATATTCTGTTCATAAGCATTTTATTATAGATTTAATAAGGCACAGAAATTGAAATGCAAATAAAAATGTTAACACCTTTAGATACCACTGACTGTGACACAATCACAACAGATAGGTAATTTATTTAGGAGTAGGGGCCTACTAGTTTCACATGACAAAGAATAGTAACATTTTCCCCCTATTTTGACTTGTTTCAAGATTAATATCTCATTCAATAAAATTATGCACTTGATGATAATATTTATATATTGCTAAGAGCACTACTGACCAATTCCAACCTAGACTTGACAGTACACTAAACTTCAGAGTTTACAGAAGGGAGACAATTTATAGTGATATATTTGTTTTTCATGAAGAACAACATATGGCTAGTTTTAAGGTGGTCCATTTGCTGAAATATCAATGTGCCTGTCAGGTTCTTGAGTAGCACCGAGTTAACTTGACAGAGGTACGCCGTCATCAGAATCACTTCTATTGCAACATATATCTGAAAAAATATTATCACACAGTTAAAAAGATGCTGACATGTGTTAATTGCTCATGTTATGTTAAAGTCCACTGTGCGGACAATACTGACCTAGGTATTTGTGACCTTGTAAAACTATCGAGCAAAAATTAAATATTTCATTTCGGGCAGCTTACAATTTTGTTGTGAATCATTTGCTTATTTAATACATCAGTGTTTCTTTCTGATTGTTGACAATCACTTAGCAAACTTGACAGTGGTGCAACTAAATCATCTGCAACACTTGTATTATTACATTCATCTGAGATAATAAAATAATATTTTACTGTTAAAAAGGTTCTGACATGTGCTAGTCTCTTATTATTTGTCATTTGTGTAAGTCCACTGTGGTAAGAGCAACTACATGTAGCCTTTGTATTCTATACTGAAAATAATGTTGCCGGGGACAGAATAATAGTGCCCATGTATATAAAACATTTTACTTTCAACTCCATAAACTAAAGTTCTAGTTATAGACCAGAAAGCTTACCGATTTTTGCTGCCAGATTTTTCTATTTATTTTTTCTCCTGTGAGCCTTTACCCATTTTAACGGCATCTGAAAACAAAACAAAAATAATAATTATAAGGATGTGAGACACATTTTACCGCATTGTTTTACTTAGGTATAAATCACGGATAAAAATACCATCGTTTGTTGCCCATTGATAACGATAGTCGCCGCCATCTTGTTTTATTGTCATCTTTACCAATAAATATCTCTAAGAAACTAAGTTAATTTCATCTAAGTTTATCCCTAAGGCCTTCCACTACTTGTTAAGATGGACACAGTTTAACTGTCAACGCAAAGTACAGGTCCAATTTCGTGTTTGGCCTTGCATTTTAAGCCCCTCGATAACGATAGTCGCCGCCATCTTGTTTTATCGTCATCTTTACCGATAAATATTTCTAAGAAAACAAGCTAAATTTTAACTAAGTTTATCCCTAAGGCCTTCCACTACTTGTTAAGATGGACACAGTTTAACTGTCAATGCAAAGTACAGGTCCAATTTCGTGTTTGGCCTTGCATTTTAAGCCCCTCGATAACGATAGTCCCCGCCATCTTGTTTTATCGTCATCTTTACCGATAAATATTTCTAAGAAAACAAGCTAAATCTTAACTAAGTTTATCCCTAGGGCAGTCCACTGCTTGTTTAGATGGACATAGTAAAACTGTCAACGCATTGTACAGATCCACTTTCGTGTTCGGCTTTGCATTTGAACCCCGGCGATTATGATCTGCTCCGCCATCTTGCTTTATTGCCCGAATTATTGTTTAAATTTTCATAGAAAACGAAGCTGTTTTAAATTAAATTATCAACCAATAAAACCAACGTGTTATTCAGTCATCAATAATATAAAATTCAACGTATAAAAAATCAAATTACCCGTGTTAGACCTTAGGTAACAAGGCATTCAGACTCGCTTGTTCGTCGCCATATTGCTAATTAGAATGCAACAACGGATTGAAGGCAATTTTTCACGATGACATCTGCTCCAAAATATTGCAAATTTTACACACAAGTGAACCTTGTTAGTTTTCCCTTCTGCACATACATTTTCAGAGAAACTACAAGACTAAAAGCGGTATTTTACCTACCTTGAAATCGCCTACATGCAACAGAGCTCGACCTCCGCACGAACACAACGCGACTGACTACTTCCGCCGTACGAACGTCTTTCCACAGTTAATCGGATTACCCTTTGAAGAATTGCCGAGTGTCCAATCTTTGGTATATTAGATCTTAGTTTAAATGAATGCTATCATGTGTGAGAACCATGTAAAGGGTAGAACAACTCTCAAGTGGAATGGAACCTTCAGCAACTGCTTTATTTTCTATTATATGTGTGCTAAGATACATACAACACATTGCTACTAGGATATGACCTTAAGGTCAACAGCTGTCAATCTTATATGGCATACACTGTTACTTTGAGGATACAGTTACTTGACAACACCACACACTTGAACTATAATGCCTGTCTGTATCCATAGTAACCGAATACTTGAACTATTAGTTGCAAGAAACCATTATATAAAAATTTACATATATAGGTTCAAAGTGTCTTGCCTATCATTATATAAAAATTTACATATATAGGTTCAAAGTGATTTGCCTGTCATTATTGAAAATTCTGCATGTATAGGAGTATGCTTGCTAAAAAATATTTATACCCCATTTCCATAGATTTTAGATCGATCTATCCCTGTGGGGAGTCTCACTAGATTACTGTCAGCTAAGCCGGCTTAAGCGTCTGTCCCACCTACTGAAAGCTAGGGAGTAAGGGGGTAATTAACTTACATGCGCGCTCGGCTGACTGCAATTTAGCGTCAACCCCTAGGGAGTTAGGTCCATCTAAATCTTAATCTCTGGATCCATCTAAATCTCTGGGAATACACCCTAAATATACGTCTAAAAAAAGATAAAACATTTTTTTTCGACGTATATTAGGGTGCATTCCCAGAGATTTAGATAAATAATTTAGCCATTTGATAATTTCTAAGAAAAAATTGTTGATTAACATTCTTCTTTCTTAGGGACTTTTCCCACGGATATTTGGATCGATCTATCTCCCTGGGGAGTCTCACTTAAGTGCTATCAATTTAGTGAGACTCCCCAGGGAGTTAGACCAATCCAGATGGATCGATCTAGGCATGGGAACCCAGTCTTTGGGCGCATTCCCATAGATTTTAGATCAATCTATCTCCGTGGGGAGTCTCACTAGATTACTGTCAGATAATCCGAGAATCTGGCTTAAATGTCCGTCCCGCTTCTACAAGCTGTAAGGGGGTAATTAACTTTTGTGCCTGCTCGGCTAACAGCTATTTAGGTCGATCTAGTTGGATTGATCTAATCTCTGGGAATGGGGTCTTAGAGTAGTATGGCTATATCTTGATTTGTTTTATGTGGATTTTAGGTTCATTAACCTATCAAAGTGACAGCTGAGTTCCCTTTACCAGGCCTGCAGAAAATATGTTCTCTTCTCTATCACAGTACAGAGATAGCCATCCATTTAACATATCTGTTAATATCTATGAATAATATCTGTGAATATCTAGTGAAGAAATCACACAGTACAGAGATAGCCATCCATTTAACATATCTGTTAATATCTATGAATAATATCTGTGAATATCTAGTGAAGAAATCAATCTGGTAGAGGATAGCAGCTTAACACGTGTGACAGTATTGAGTAACCCACAAGTAGAAACTTTTGCCTTCTGAGCAAGTATTGCAGTGACAGAATGAATACCATAATTTTAACATATTAAAGCAGAGGGTAGAGTACATATAAGGGAGTGTTCACAGGGGTGGATCCAGAGTTATTTTCTGACAGTCTTCCAAATTATCTTTGTGGATCTATCCTCCATTTTTGACCGTCTTCCGACAGAAATAATTAGATACCCGTCAATGTAAACTTGAAAATCTGACCGTCTTCCGGAAGACCCAGAAGACTCCCTAAATCCGCCCCTGTGTTCAGAATGAGTTATGTCCACCTAGCTATAACTAAGGCTGTATTCCCAGAGCTTTTAGATCGATCTATCCCCGCTGGGAGTCTCACTAGATTACTGTCAGATAATCCGGCTTAAATGTCCGTCCCGCCTACTACAAGCTGTAATTAAGGGGGTAACAGCTATTTAGCGTGAACCCCCAGGGAGTTAGGTCGATCTAAAGTAGATCGATCTAATCTCTGGAAATGGGGTCTAATACATGCTTACTCCACGGGGATTCTCGCTGAAAGCAATCAGATTAATAGACTAACATGCCTACTCTTGTTTCCAACATGCTTGGAACATCACCAGTTCTCTTTATTCTACTCAATGCCAGTTCTACCCAGAGTGGCATGTTAGACTGTTAATCTGACTGCATTCAGCGGGAGTCCCGTGGTCTAGCATTTCTGTGGTTGACAACACATTCAGAACGGTCCCTAAGCATGAAGAAGGCCATACTGTACATATGTCAAATTCCCGTGATGTGCATTCTTCCTACGTCTCCTCAGTGTTCGGCCTTACATGCCAGTGCTTATCACGTAGCAAGGAAACAATAAAGTCGGAAACTTTTGTTAACTGAGGCCACATACCCGTGTATATAGCGCGGCTGCTGTAGCACGTGCAGAGCTCAGTGAAACTGACAGCGACAGTCATGTTGAATTCTTGAAACTTCAGGACACTGACAATTTACAAAATACACCAACACATAAATCCACACAAACGACCTCTTCCAATGTATTTTAATGCATTGTTGGAAGTTAATTAGAAGAGGCAAATACTCACCACAAATTTTACTCCTGTCTGGAAGGTTTACAACTGAGTGACCTCTGGCGGCAGGTTCACGAATTACCGTGGTGATCATGTGACCTATGGAACTCGCCATTTTGTTTTGTTGGCAGAAGTGAGACAGGTAAATATACCGATAAATGATTTTACTCATGGATCATATATGTAAGTGTTTACATACGTGTTATTTATGCTGATTAGTTGATCAGTACAATGTATGCATAGCTCCATACATACTCACGCACAGATGATTGTTTGTTGTGTGAGACGATAACTTGATTGTTGACTGAAGTTGAGTTTGACACGAAGACGGCCTGAGAGGAAACTAACACAGAGTGGCATGAAAATTGTATGTTTAAAAGAACTTGAAAAGTACTGATGGCCGTCATCGCTGATTATTTCTTTATCTTTGCTTTATTTTAAATCATGAAAGCAATTAAGTCTTGAAATGTTTCAGATTTAACATTTTGCTAAATACTTTCGTCCTGGAATAATCTTACCTGAGTTCAGGTCATGTTCCGCAGCCAAAACCAAGCATTGATGTAGTTACTAATTAACCTTACTTTGGATATTTACTATTGACTAAGAAACATTCTTGGGTGATTACTCAGCAGGATAGAAATCTTTTATCAAAATTGTTTGCAACCAGTAGATTACAGAAAGGGAGGAGTGTATTTTTAAACATTAAACAAAATAAATGATATTATGTACTTTGTAAATTCCTTAATTCTTTAGGTTTTGTTTATTGTAAAAAGGCATTGGAAGTATACAATGCCTGATGTAGTACAACCTAGAATTATATCAAAACTATTGATGTTTGCTTGTTTTTACCTCCTTGAATTTTTAAAAGACACCAGTGCAATTATCCCCATAAATGCAAGAGATGCCCAGTTATTCCTTATCACATATTTGCAGCTCTGAGGTCAGGTTGAGCCTGGACATAAGGCCTAGAATGTATTAGAGTCAATTTTTACAAACTCATGTTCTCAGTGCAGGCTTGTTCTTAACTCTGACTACATACAACTCACTAGTCATCACTGGAACATCCATCATGTGTATACAGTGGAATTTGTTAGATGTCTCAGTTTGCCTAGTCATCTTTTCTCAGTTATAGATTTGCTTCTAGGAAACTAGATTTAGTCATTTTCATCCTAAATAATAAAACTACTGCCTTGGGACCCTTTCCTGTAAATAGAGCTGAATTATGAACTGTTTAGTGTTACTCTGCTCTTCGTAGCTGTCTGTTCTTGCAGTAGTTGCTGTTTACTTCAGGGTGTTTTTCACCATGACAAACAACAATGTTCTTTGGTCTCCATGAGACACAGTCAATATTTGTAAAAGAAAGTCATCATTGCCTGCTTGCAGTAGGAAGTTCCTTTATTATGATATATAAAAAGAGGTGAATTGCAATTTTCCGGTAGAGTTTTATTTTGCACAGTGGGTTGCATTATTTATTTGATTACTATTTTAACCCCTGCTTTTATTTTTCAGCTTTCCAATGACATAAATTATAATAATGGCAGCAGTCCTGCCAGAGAATGGAGCAGTTACGCAGAGTGAGGGGGGCTGTGGTGCCCTAGAGAAACCTCCCCCTCACAAAGCAGGCTCCATGTCAGATCCAGATGTTGGAAATGAAGAGGACATTGTTCAGCAGATCAGTATTAATGGCAGTCTAGGGGAACACACAGGGACAGAGTGCGTAGAAAGTTCAGAGACTTGTGACCACAGTGGTGGTACAGAGGGTGCTGAGACAGGTGATAGGAACTCTGTTAATGAAACCATTTCCTCAGATTCAGCAACAGAAACATGCAACGTGGTTAATGAGTCATGTAGTGTTCAGCCAGCATTCCAAGCTGAAGTGCACCAATCCAGCACAGACCAGCATATAGCACACAATACATTAGACAGTAATATAGATAGCTCCCAGGAGGCGGAGGCATTAAAGACCATTGTGAGTGAAGCCATTGGGAATCCAGGGGGTCTAAAGAATATGACTCCAGACCAGGAATCACTTCCTGCTCCTAGTGGAGATGATAAAGGGAGTGATACTAACTCCAAACAACTCTCAGATAGCTCTGTTTCAAAAAGTACAACAGACATACTGTTCACTTCTAGCTGTGATACGCAGGGTGATGGCAGTGACGATGACCATCTCCTGTCTGAGCTGGACCTGGAGTTGGACTTGGATGCATTTGGGACAACCTTGACTAAATCTGTGTTACAAAAAAACACTACTACTAACAGGACAGAGTATGATGCTCTACAAAAACAGTTAAAACTACAAAAAAGTGAAATGAACAGGTTGGTCTATGTATAAGTTTATTTTATATATTTAAGTGTAAACATCTTAATATGTGTGATTTTTTTTTTTCATTCAAAGATAGCTTTACACTTTCAATCTAGACAGTGTATTTTCCTGCTAAACATTGCTTTTGGTATAATATGTGTATGCCCCAATCCATGCAGCTGTGCAGGGATTTCTTTTCTCTAGTAACACCACCATTTATCACTGACCTTTAGGCAATGTTGACTGTAGTGATGTAATTGAATGATATGAGTAAGACCCAGCCATGTATTTACCTGGACTTTGGACTATAAACCAGAGTGGCTGGATCTCAAGATGTACATAGGAGAAATTATAAATCTGTTACATTGATTAATGTGCTATTGAACATGATTTGCACCCATATTGCTAGAAGCAGATATATTTATGATGTTGAAATATTATGAATAAGCAGAAATGAGGTGACACTGATGAAAACTAAGCCATGATTCTGTCTACACTGACAACACATTTCACACATAGCTCTCTTAACTGATCCTTTGTTCAAAATGCTGTTGGTAGACCTGAGGTCATTACATGTATCCAATAAACAATCCTTTGGCCTTGAAATTTTCCCTAGGAGGCACTGGCTACAGTACATAATATCACATAGTTTAACTCTGAGACATGCTACAGTACATAATATCACATAGTTTAACTCTGAGACTTGCTACAGTACATAATATCACATAGTTTAACTCTGAGACTTG